GATGCCGTGACTCCGGTAAGAGACGAGTACCCGCTCTTTTGCCACGTGCCATCAATTGTGATGCAATGGTAGCAGAGACCTTTCATATCGTTTTTTTTACGTTCTTGGGTTACACTATTTACACTTTTAGTTGTAACATTTATATAAACATTATATACTAGACCGTTTTTTGCCTAAATTATTTAAAGCATTTTCAGAAATATTATATGAGTTTATACTCTTTTTGCAATTGTTTTGATAGCCTGAAAGCCTAATCAAATTTCACGGAACGCAACAACTGAACGTACATTCACTTCATATAGCATTTTCTTCAAAATAGTCATATCAATTAAAAAGAAGTAGCTCTGGTGGATGGCTTTCAAAATCTTTAAATTTCTTTTTGTCGAAAAAAGATTTTTTTTCGAAAAAAGATGTTTTTAAAGGGTACTCTGTTTTTGTGGTTGTTGATGATGTAATGAGTGAAAGTTTGTTTGAAAATCATTTTTACAACAGTTATGAAGGTGAATAATAATTTATTTTTTTAAAAAACAATTTTTTTTTTTTTACCTCAGACATTATACTTTTAAAACAGTACAAACAGTAAATATTACAAACAGTAAATATTATAACTTTCATTATTCCAAAATGTGATAATACTTGATTATATTTTTAGAATGCAAATGATCAATTAACTTATGACCAAATAATAAGCAAGATAGACTTTAATACTAAAAATGTTTTTTAGCATTTACAATATATAGAAATTTGCAGTTAAACATTAGAAATATTTTTGCTTATAAAACGGTTGCTATGGCGTTGTTATGGATATTCAAAGTAATTGTTTGATATAAACGCAAATTATTGTAAATCTATGTTAAAATTTTGCATTAAACTTTTTAAATTCTGTAATCAACAGATTAATGAACCAAATCTTAATTTTTTTTTACGACTTTTATTTCTTTACCTTAAACATAATTTAAAAGATTGTTTACAGTTCACACTTAGAAAATTAGTGCTTTCTCTTTAAGCAATCTAATTGTTTGTCTTGCAGAACATATATTTTAACTTTAAGTTAATCTAAGAAGATTCTCTGTCTGATTAACTTAAAGTTACCAAAATAAGTGCGCCTGATTTATTTTTAGTTTACCATAATTTCTCACACAATTTGCCAAGTAACTTTAAAATTGCTTTTTTTTTCCAAACAGTAGAGTAAAAGCGGGTCAAATAAGTTTTTATTTATCATGGTAAAAAGATTTCAATTTTTTTTTTTAAGTTGTAAAGACTTTTGAATTGTATTTAAATATAAAATCAAATATATTTTCAAAAAAGTTTTTTAAGAAACTTCATTTATTTGGAAAAAAAAAAAAAATTTTTAATTATTTTTTTTTATTTAGGTGCCCATTAAATCTTTCGGTCTTATCACAGAAAAGCATTTGAAAGAACGCTTCTTTTCTTATCGATGCTATAAAACTTACCCAGAGGTGGCGTTGAATAACGGATCTCTATTTCTGTGGCTAGCGTACTAACCACTGCACTTCGACTCCTCCTTTTTCATTCTATTCTACGGCTGCATATTTCAATATACAGCCGTATCAAAAAAAAACTTAATTTGAAAAATACAACCATTTCTGTTAATTAAAAATCAACCAATAATACAAATAAAAAAAAATAAAAAAATAATTTTATTTATGTGATAATGTTAAATCTTTAAGAGGTTTTGGAGGTTGAGTTGTCACTTGCGCGGCACTTTTTAATGCAATAAAACTCAGTGCTTTTATACATTTCTTGAGAATAGATGTATGACAAAGCCAAACCTTGCATTTGGAATTTTCGGTTTGATATCATTCACTTTTTTGACTTGCTTAAACTTTTCTAAAAACATTAGGACACTTTTATACTTGACTTAGTTTGCTACTGCTGTTGTTGTTGGAGATGGTGTTGTTAAAAGATTTATCTGCTGCTCATCATCAAGGTCAAATTTACGTCAAGATTACGTTGTTTCCTAGCCTGATTTGCTTTATTTTTATTGTCTTTCGATTTCCATCTTGCTGAGCGAAAACAAACCAGTCTTTTGAAACCCAGAGAACTATTTGCGTGCATGTAAAAACTTCAACAGAGGTTTAAATGCTGAAACTTGAACAGAATGTTTTTCTTGTAATTTGCTAAAACATCCTTTTGACAAACTGCTGAACTTTGTCTTTGCACAAAACTCTTAAAGTAATATAATATTATGTCAAATTTTGAATCCCCCACCCCCCACCTATACAAAGAAACTACGCTACAAACTTAGCCTAATTTTTTGTTATTAAAACAATGAAACTCAAAAAAAAAAAAAAAAAAAATTGTTGACGTCAACTTTAATTGACCTTCCCCCTCCCCCGTGTCAACAATTGTCAAAAAAACCCTTCAAAGAGCACAAATTACCAAACTTTTATGGGTTTAATATAAAATATATTTTTCACGACTAAATACAATTAAAAGCTGGTGCCACATCATTTTATAACTCTGTGTTGTGATATTATGAAACTGTGTTGTGATATTATAACTCTTTGTTGTGATATTATATAGCGTTGGTTTTTTTTTAGCATTATTTGTTTGTTTTGTATCGAACAAAAACAAGAATGTCTATCATGGTTGAAGATTATCTAAATTTAATAGTTACCCATTTTTGGACCATAATTTTTTGTACAAATATCAATTTATAAAATTTATATTTAATTCATGACCATTCTTATACGACAAAAAATTGTCTAAAAAACTCACTACCAAATTTAAATCAAGAGAACTCTCCGTAAAGAAATTTAAAAAAATTTAATTTTAGAGTAAAGACTTAAATAGATTTTTTAAAACTACTTACATTTAATACAAAAATTTGCTGCAAGAGCGGGTCCGACTATGTTTACAATGCGTTTGTGCACCTTACCTAAAAGAAAAAGGGCATTGAGATTTATTGAGATAAAGAATAGATTCCTAAATAAGAAAGTGGCGAGCACAATAAAGAGATTTAACCCTATTAGATGTTTATGTTGCCATGGATTTGATTTGTGGTTTCCAAGAATATCGGAAATAATTTTTGTATCTTAAAGACAGAAACGTACCAATGGGCCCGCAGCCGTAGGAGGGCCCAGATTTATTAGAGCCCTAAGTCAAATTTTTCAAATACATTTAATAACATTTTTACTTTTATTGTATATCTAAGAATTAGAAATTCTTAGCTATACAATATGTAACATACTTGTTTCAATTAACTTAAATCAAAATTGTATTTAAAAATAACGCTTTTTGTTTTCATGTATAATTTTTTTTTGTTTCGAGGGGGAGGGGAGAGAAATAATTTAGGATTAAAATTTTAAGGAAAGGCCTATTTTTTGTCGCCAAGCCACTGCTTAAAGGCCAAACGAAGATGTACATTGCCGTTCATAATTTTAGGAAGATCCTGATTGTTGTGATAACTATTAGTTTTACTTGAGTTAAAAATTATCAGCCACGGAGAGGCAGATGGAATTTCTATATAAAATAAATTATAGATTGGTGCAGGTTAAACATTGTTTAAAAAACGCACTAGAAGAAATAGGACGTGACTATTTATAGAAATAAAGACTTTTAAAAGCTTATGTCCTATTTAAGTAATGAAAAATGACAGTACTCCTGCAGTAAAATTGAGGCGGTTTTGCTCTTTTCTTATACTGCCGATATTGCTGGCTTTAATATTTGAATTAGTTTTAGCAATATAAGTAATTCTAAAACCAGCGGAACTATTAGTAAAAAAAGTTAGAATATCCGCATCAATTTTAGTGCAAAAGTACCGACATTTTTATATTCTTAAATTATTACTTAAAGTTATTATTAAATATATCAATTTTAAAATTATTATTAAGTTTATTATCTTTGGACGAAATTGTCAACTGTCCTAAACTTGTTTAATGCTCTGGCATTTTTACATTTGCAAAAAATCGATGTGTTCTGCCTACATGACTTTTAGCATTTTAATATATATAAATAAATATAAGAAACTTTCAAATTTATATTTTTTAAGTAAAATTTAATTTTTTTTAAAAATAATTAATATATAAAAAAGTTTAATCGAAATAAAATTTAATGTCTGATTTACTATTAAGCAAAAGTTATATGAATTTAACTTTCGAACAAAAAAACTCCAAAAAAAAAATTCTGCAAAGTTTCGAATTTTTTTGTTTCGTTGTCAACGAAAATCTTAAAAAAAAATGGCGAAACTTTAAATTTCAAAAATAATTGATATTAGCATAAATGTGATTGTGTGCAGAATATAATTTTATTTTTTTAAATATAAAATTAAATTTCATCAACTTTCAATAAACCTGAAAACTCATGAGTTTATCGTAAACATTATGTATAATAACGAAGGTTGAATATAATAAAGAAATATTGAAGTAAAAAAAGAAAAAATACTGTCAAAAAATATTTATTATTAATTTAATAAGAAAAAAGGTAATAACCGTAAAAGTATATTTAATCTAATTTTAGTATTTTATATAATTAACACTTTTTGATATTAATTATAATTTAATGTTTATAGTAACAAAAGAAAAAATCTATTAATATTAAAATCAAAATGATCAAAATTCATGATATAATTATGAAAATATAAAAAAAAAACAAAGTTTATAAATAAAAATTATATATTTAAACAAAGATTAATATAAATTATTATTATTTATAGTGTAATGTTATTATTATTATTAAAAATGTTAAAAAAATAATAATTATGAAAAACCATGTACCACAAATATAATTATATATTTAATAGTTTATGTAATTACTATTTTAATTAATATATTTTAAAGAGAACTAATTATAAATATGAATAATATAATAACATAATATTGAACTTTTTTATTTAAATCTAATATATTTAAATTATTTCGTATATTTAAAGCAAATATATTTATAAAAAAATAAATTAAATAATTTAATTTTTTATTATTTTTACTATTTAAAAATAAATTAAATATTTCATTTATTATTTTATAATTATTGTTTTTATTTTATATATTTAAATATATTTTTCCGCGTTATAAAGTTAATTCATCGAGGTTACAAAAATCTTTTCCACGGTACCAGATCTTAAACTTCTTGATGTTCGAACAACGAATCCATTCACAAATGTCTTTAAAGAAATCAATGTCGTCGTGAAGTTTAAGATCTAATTCTTTACAAAGATTAATCCAAGGAAGAAAGTTTTCTTCAAAATCTTTTTTTGTTATGAAATATTTTGAGATCCATATCCTCAACCATTCAATCTTATCTTTCGGTTTCCATCCTTCGAAATAAATTGGATTAAAAAAGAAGACATCGCGAACATTAGTTGAACATCGAATTATAAGATTTTTTTCTTCATCACTTAAAATATTTTTATCAACACCTAACCCATCTAACTTTCTTCCAGATTTAATGTAATAATTTACGAAATAATTATCGCAAGAAGTTGCGTAAGAAGTTTTTCCATCGTCAATCAAAATCCTCCAACCCCACCTATGTTTATTTCGTACATCAACAATTGAGTTTATTTCATCAGTGAATGACGATTGACTTTCGTAGAAACATTCGTAGAAAAAATTGAAATCTTTAAAACCATCAATACTTTTACAATTAATACTTTTAGATAGACGATCTAAAGAAAAATTAAATGTGAAATATAACAATAAACAAATAAATAAGAAACAAAAAATAAAATAATAATCAAAATTGTGATGTTATACATATAATATTATTATTTTTCTATATACAAATATAATTAATACACTATAATGAAATAAAAAATTGAATACATTTTCTTATTATTAATAAATATATTATATTTATTTAATAATATAATAAACATAATCACATTAATAATAAATGAAATTATATATAAAACTTAATAAAACTTTTAAACAAAATAACTTCTTAATAAAAATTATAAAAAATATACTAATTTTATTATTTTGAACATAATTTTTATATTAAGAAATTTTATTATAAATGTTGTGTTTATAATTTTTAATAACCAATAACATACATATATAAAATATATTTTTTACTTAAAATAACATAAAACAGATTAAAAATATGTTTAACTTAGAAAAAATGCATTATTAATTCATATTGTCATTAGAAATAAATATCATCATTTTTTTATATAAGAAGATAAAAAGGAAAACCTGTTTTATATTTACATGCAAATTTGTAAAGAACTCAATGTATTTATAAACCGAATTCCTACAGAACTTGTTCAAATTTAAAATTTACATCGAAAATCTCCTTCGACAACCTTTTTTAAAATAAGTTAATTAAATAAATATGAAAAAACGTCAAAGAGTGAGGGTTCAAATATTTGGTGATTCGATTTCGACGTCGATTTGAAACTATGAAGAAAATCAATCAAAATTTGCAACTTTTATACAACTTATAAATTAAATTTTGATGCAATTAGCGCTTCTTGAATAAGGCTACAAAATATATATTATTAAAACATAAAAAAAAGCAACTAACGCAGCTAAGAAGAACCAATAATCTATTCAATCAAATTTAAATTTTTATATAAATTATATCGAATGCATGTTTTTTGGATAGACAAATAAAATTTTGGTTTTAAAATTTTGTAATTCATGTAACAGTCATTTTAAAGAAAAGTTTTACTTTCACTATCATTTTATAAAATTAATATTTCTCTTTACGAGTGACCAAATGAACACAAGTTCTAATGAGAAAATTTAACTTACGGTGAGAACATAAAAAAAGCAACTAATGGCAATAGTTTCACAGGAGTATTAAAACTTGAACGAACTGTCGATTTACAAATTATAGAACTATATTGTGGGAATATTTTACATGTTTATTAAATCGAATGAAACGAATAAATTTAAATTCGCTTGAAATTACAGTCTTAGAATAGAATCAGCTTATATCTTGAAATCAAATTATTATCAAAAATATTAAATTTAAATATTATCTTTTCTTGCATTTTTTTTGTTTAAAAAAATTCACTGAATATATCAACAAAATAAACAAAAATGAAAAAAAAAAAATTGTTTTCATAATTATATTCAAGAGGTCATTGTCGTCGTATCGCCTTTAAACAATTCGACTTGAATTCCGAAACATAAACTTTTTAAATGAAATGAAAAAATTGATTATAAAACTGAAGTATACTTACAAAATTTAAAAAGTTTTGTTACCAGTGTGAATTTTAATAAACAATGATAACAAAATGAAACCGTAGCATTTTAAGAAAATAAATTGAAAAGTGAGTTTTATAAATTTAAAACTCGATCATCGAACTTCAAAAAATCTTTTAATAAATTCGAAAAAAAAAACAGTAAATATTGAAAACAAACGTTTCGCTTATAATATGATTTTGTAACCATCGCAACCGATTTCCAAATGCACGATAGCGGTAGCAGGTTCTTAAAGCGAAAAGATTAAAACCGAAAAAACCTTATTATAATTTTACATACAACCTACTTTTTAAAATTGTTATATAATTTTTGTTCCTACAGCCCCGGATCATTGTAACTAAAATGGAAAACACTAAGCCATCAAAAAAAAAAAAAAAAAAATTTATTCAACTGTATTTTTTTATCAACTGCTTTTTAAAAGATATGGTCGTTCGACTAAACAAAAAAAAAATTAAAAGAGCGCCGATTTAAATGTAAATGTTTTTTATAAGATTGAACTCTTAACAAAAACTTGCTGCACTTTTAATTATATTGGCAAATATAAAATTATTTAACTGTTAAAAAAATTATTACACTAAATTGCTGAATAATAATTTTTATTTTATGTAATTAATTATATTTTATATATCAATTACTTTGATATATTATTCACTTTTATTGTAGAATTTTTATTTGTTGTAATAATTCTTAAAATGCCTGCATTCTATTACAAAAAGATAATATATAACTGTTTTCATATGCAGTAAACAACGTTCGTCTAAAGAATTTTTTCATGCTGCAATAAATGACACTTGTTAAGTGTATGTTCTTGTAAACATGCAAACGTTTGTTAAAAAAAAAAACAAGAAGAAAAACGAACGTCACTTTTCTTTAATTTTGCTTATGCAAACATTGGCGTTTGTTTAAAATTAATAAAAACGAACGTATTACTTTAGCGTTTTTTTTTCCAAATATATATGCGATTGATAGTTTTTTATTAAATATAAAAACACATATAATAAATATAATATTTTTAAAATTACATTTTACAGTGCAGACTTCAAATTTGAATGAATTTGATGCTGTTTTGACTACTATTGAACTGCTATTTGATAAAAACAGATTTAAGTTTTAGTTCAAATATTATACTAATTTAATTTATCCTAAACAAAGTGAAGAAAGAATATTTATGCAATTGTTTTGCAAGAAACGATGTATACCACAAGGTGACTTGTAACCTCAACGCCCAACACAAGGACATCTTGACCTTGATAAACAATTGATATAACTGATAAACAATTTAGTAAAGAATAAAAGAAATCAAAGATTATTAAAATATAAACTGCAATATTTTTAAAAGGGAAATTTTAATCAAAAATTCATATATTTATATGCCCTATATAAAAATATAAAAAATATTAATGTTAGTCTTGCTCTAAACTAAGCAGTTTTTAGTCATTTTAAGGTCCGTTTTTTTGTTTCAAATATGTCATTTTAAGGGAAAGGAATAAGTGATTCAATTTTTTTACGAGTTAGTTTAATCATATTTGCTTCAAATATAGATGGTTTGGTTTTTCAAATACCAAAACTTTTTAATGTCTAAGAGATGGTTTCCAATAACAGAAACTATGTCAAACAAGAGTTGTGCATTTAAATTTAAATGAATCGGTTTTCGTTAAAAGGGCGTAAGTCACAAAATACAATTTTTTCAAAAAATAAAAAAACTTAATATCAAAAAAACTTCTTATTAAAAAGATTTTTGAAAATTAATTTGAAAGTAAAAGTTACTGTTTTATAAAATTGGTAAAATAATAAAGTTTATTATTTTATTTTTAAACCACTCTTTAGAAATATTTTTGAACAAAAATATTTTAAACTATTCTTTCGAGTAAATTGACATGGTTTAAAAACCGTTATAAATGAATTTAACATCAAAACTTTTTTTAAGTTTTCCATCAAATTATTATTTTTCAACCAGAAATTTACTTGTAACTTTTTTAATATTAATTTTAATGAAGCATAAAAAAAAAGTGCAAAAATAAGTTGCATTCTCTTCCATACATGACAGAAACCTATTTATGATGCAAAAAAATAAATATTATCTCCACTGACACACACTTAACATGAAACTATACTCTTGCGTAAATAATACATGGGAGAAAGGTTTTTAAAATTTTGAAAAACTGCCCCACTCACCCCCTATAAAATCTCGTACCCTACTTTTTATTATTGTTTACTTTCTTTTAGAAAAAACAAATAAATCCTTACGTGAAAAAATAAAGTTTCCAAGTTATTCTTTATAAATGTAATTATAGTAATTCCTAATTTGTAATAACTTTTTATTCTTATGAGAGTGAAAATTTGACTTTCTTGTTGAAGACGTTTTAAAAGTAATTTCAAGCAAAGAAAGAAAATAGACTTTTTATTAAAAACCATATGAAAGTGATATCAAGATTTTAATAAAATACTTATATGAATTATTTCAAAAACAAAACATTGAAAACGACTCTGCAGTCTTTTTATAATATTTTATTTATGAAAAAAAAAATACTTCGTTTAAAAAAAACTTATTTGTGTTTTACTTTATTTTTTATATATAACTTTGATTTTTTCAAATAAAAAAAAATTGTTTCTCTTGCTACACTTAACCAAAGATTTGAGAAATTATATGTCTAGATCATGCTTGAAAACAGCCTGTTCAAAAATATCAAATAATAGCCATGAATTCGCTCTTACATAATCAACCACTGAAGGTATTTCCAAATTTTGAAAGCTGACGCTGCATCTAATTTAAACATTTTCCGATGGAGAATCTGCCAGAACAAAGAGCTGGTCCTGTACAGTTAATACTTCAATAATTTTTAACATTATCTTATCGAATAATAATGCTAATAATGAGTTTATTTATAACATTATGAAATCAAAGGCTAAAAAAACTATTCTTGATTGCAGCTGTATCTAAATTCCCAGCTCTGAGAAATTTAGGAGAATAAAAAATTGAAATATATGTTGCCATCTCTTCCACATTCTTTATCTTCCTTTTGTCTCAAGTTCAGGACTTGCTTTGTCAAATTATAAGGAAGCATGATATTGCGAACTCTTCAGATCAGTAAATACTTACTGCCATAAAACGTGTATGGTTTACTGCCCCAGGCTTGTGAATGTTGAGATGCTTGATTGTTGGTTCCTAAAAAATGAGAGCTAGCTCAGTAATTCCTAGTAGTCTCTAGTTCCTGGTAATATTGGATATTGTTTTTATTAATAAATATTACACATTTATTACATAAACTTGAACATTTTAATGGCTAGAAAAATTAACCTGAAAATATTTGAAAACACCTTCATTAACAAGTGTTATTAAAAGATTTCTTGCCTCATCTGCATGTTCTTTAAACTAAGAATGACAAATCTGTTGCGAATTGAAGTGATCAATAAACTGTGTCATTATCAACATCAACAAAAGTACATTGCCAGG